GGGGGGAGCAGGCACAGCCGAGGGGTCACACCTGCGTTTCACATTCATGATAGAGCACTCAGGGGTGGCCGTTGAAGTTAGTGGCATCAAACCTGATCAAAATTGTTCAAAAAATTGATTAAAAAACTACAGAATAATTTTTGGGTTTGGAGTAACAAAATTAATTGTCTTGGGCATCACATACAGTATTAGCATTCGTTTAAGTTAGGCATCTTTGTGAACATTTTATCTTAATATTCTGTATTGAGGTTACTTGGTTATTTTAAAACCATTTTAAGATGTTGTAGTTAACCCTGTCTGACAGTTGGTGTGTTTATACTTACCCTGTTTCCCCAGACAAAACTGGCTTCATTATAGGCTGTTACTAAATTTGAATAGTGAACTCTGCTTGGGGCTTTAGTCTGGGCATAAGATATTGAGGTATTTGAGCATCAAAATGAAATACTGTACCTTTTTATTTTGATGCACTTTTTTTTATTTTCCAAAAGAATAATTTTTCAAATCTTGATGTGTTAAAATGGAGTCTCTGCAGTTGTTGACATACAGTGTATTATTATAAGGGCAGTGGCCTGATCCCACCACCTGCTTTTCAGTAGCTCATAAATCCAACTGAATTTTGAAGTGAAGCTGTTCAGGTTACATAGTTTCCATAACACGTTTTCATAGCAAACTGTAATGTGGTGCATTCTTGGAGATAAAAGGATGTATCTGCCTTTCTAAAGCAGGTGTAGCTCAGTGTCTGTTAGAAGTATTCTGCTGGCTCACTGTAACAGTATCTGCACTCCTAAAAACCTGACATAACATTGTGGACTATCCTCTTTTCACGGTATCCATTTTTGTTTCTGTACGGGGAAAGAATTTGATTTGTAGCTGCTCCAAATTGGTCTTTATACTTTGTTTGGAAGGAAAGTTTCTTTTTTAAAAAAATGTGTCAGGACTTCTGAAAAAGCAGAAACAAATGCATAAGCTTCTGACTGGAAAATACTTTTTTAGAAAATTTTGTAAATTTTAATTTTCAAATAATTATTATCTCTTATAATGACTAAAATAATTTTTAAATTGTGATACCTCATCATATTATCTTAAAAACAATCATATACCTTCTGTTAGGTTTGGATGCTTTTATTATGCTGGAAACTTCAGAATTTTTAAAAGTGTAATTCTTCCTTTTGAGATACTCAGAAAATACTGAAATTATCTTAATATTTTTTAACTGACCTTTTTATTTTTCCTGCATATTTATATATGTTTCATTTATCTTGAACAGATGTCTATGAAAGCAGGAATATTGCAGTCACTACATATGGAACAATTATATTCAGCTAACACTGTTGTCCAACAGTTGCTTCCCATGCCTGAGGCAGCCCCCTTTCCAGAACCACCTGATCCAAAAACATGTGAGTAGGAGTATTTTATCCCAAACCCTACTGTGATTCTTTTTCTTGAATTTGCAAGGGTTTGTCCTTTGTTGAGTTTAAAGTGTTAACAGTGACAACTCCATTTCTGAAGTTGAGTTTGCATGATCACTCCCCTTGCCTGTGGCCAGAGGCTTGGTCAGTGGAGCAAAGCTCAAACGATGCATCACAAATCAGTAGCATTGTCTAGATGTTAAGGTAGTTCTGTGCTCTTCTGAATAAGGGACTTTATTTAGCCACTTGAATCTGAGAAAGGCCAGCATTTCTTCCTCTAATAATGCAAAACTAGGATCAGTATGCTAAATAGATAATTGAGTTTGAAAACTGCTTTGAAAATATTGTTTGTCTGTTTGATTAGAAATTAGAATAGAAACAGCTCTAAAGTTCTATGATTTTTAGCAATTTCTGTACTTTATAAAATTTACCAAATAGCAATGTATTTTTATTTTGCATTTTAGCCCTATTTTCTCTCTTTCTCTCCTCCATTCATTCTTGCTAATCAGTAATTCACATTGCTAGTCAGAAGCAGTGTTACCCTTGGCTTTTACATATATATATATATATATATAATGTCCTTCCAATTATGAACATTTTCTGGCAGTGTATGAACCAATTATGGGAAGGAAGCCTCTTGTAAGGGCAGTGCAGTCAAATGTAAGAGAGTGGTGCCAGCCCAGACAGCCCTCTCAAGGTGGCAACATTTGGTATATCAAGTCATGTTCAAATTGCTGATGAATCTGGCAAGCAGGAAGTGCTTAGGAGAAAGAAACCACAGCACCATTGAAATACAAGCTTTGTTTTTTCCTTTGTCTAGAAACTGGGTTTTATCACCAGCTCTGATACTGCAGATTGTAAAGGACATGATGAGGATGGACACCAAAAGTGGTCTAGCTGTAGCAGCACCGAGTTCAGTACAGGCTGATTTATGTTTCTTTCTGTCAGGGTAAATTACTCCACACTGCTTTTCATTTCTGTGGCTAAACTGCTTCTGGTGTTTGAGCTTACTGATTTAAAACTAAGTCTGGCATCTCTGAGGCACACTGCTGTTTGCAGTGTTGATGCCCCTTTCATTTGAAATTTGTTCAAGTCTCTTTTCTCTGGGCTGAATAGAAGTGAAGACAGATCTGTGGGTGCATCTGAACTGAATGAATCTGGTCAAGCTCTGATGGTACTGATAAAATGACTGATACTTAGGTTATAATATCTAATGTTTATCTTTTTGTGAAGTGCTTACCTGTAAGTGAAGGCTGTACTGTTTTGTTCAGGTTCTCCTCAAGAATACTTAGAGTATTACATATTTCCAGTACTCTTACCTGGAATAGCTGAACTTCTGCATCGAGCAAAGGAGGAAAAGTGTTTTGAGGTTAGTTTTTAGTTTTCAGTTCTAATAATTGTCAGAAAGTTACAGCCTTTATTTCACAGGCAGTATTTCTTTATTTAATCTTTTGCAAGAAAACCAACCACAATATGAAATAACATGTCATGTGTTGTTTTGGATGTGGTCTTGAATGCTATTTTCTCCAGTGCTACGCACACTGGATCATTATGGCAATCTCTAACTTACAAAAATCCTTTTAATTATCCAGTTGTATCTAGCCTAAAAAGTGCTGTATTTGAGAGAAACAGGCTTCCTGTCAGCCTAATACATATGACTCTTTTGAGGGTGATGTAAGGAACTTGACTTTTTCTTCATTTTTCATTTGATCTGGCATACTAATGGAGGTACAGTTTGTATCTTAGCTTTTTAACATTCTGTGTAAATTCCATTTAATTGGAAAGCAGATTATTCTGCATTAATGAGCTTTTTAAGTTGTACGTTGTAAAAATCTTTGTTTGCAAAAAGACAAAAATTGTTTTCAGTATCTGTGTGTGTAAGCACATCTAGAGAGACATTCCTCACCCTGTGTAGGGAATGCTTTAAAAAGCACTAGAACTGGTGCAAATAAATTACAATGAAAATATCTCCCTTTTTCTACATAATACATACCTGAGGAATACAGTCTATGCTGTTATAGATTAAAATGATAGTGAGGAGGACTTTGTGTTGCTAGTGGGTTGTTAATCATGTTAGGGCTTGATCTACCTCCTATCCAGCTACTGACGTTGACTTTCTTTTATAGGCATGTGCACACATGATAACGGACATTGTGGGACTGTGTAAAAATTACATGTTCTATTTGCCATTGACCTGAACATGCCTGGCACAGCCAAAAATACACAACACTTACCATGCTTGAATGGACACCCCAAACTTGCTTTTCAGATCCAAATCTGTACATTTAATAACATTATTTAACTTTTTGCTCAGCCTACACAAGATTTGTCTGTGTCTATGACTGATTTATAGACCTGTGTGTATGTATTTATAATCTGTAATTAATACAGTTGAAACAGGGAAATGGTTCATTTATGTCTTTATGGCATGACATCTCTCTACATTGTTCCTGCCATCACATTTACATTATTTAGCCAAAAATAGGTTGAACATTTTTATCATTAATCACACTTTTAATGACGTCTATATTGATGCAGGTATTTTTTAGAGGAAGCACATATCCTTAGAAATAGTTGTTTCAACCTCAGAACAAATCTAAGGTTAGTTTGTCTATTTTGAATTGAGAAATTTTGTAGAGCTTCAGTGGTATATAGGCTAGAAAAGTATCTCTGCTGAAATTGGGTTTTATATGGGTCTGTGTGCTGCTTTGTAGTAAACTTAATAGAAACTATTATTTGCTCATGTATAGAAACTTCATAAAAATGAGCACATCTTATAAAAAAGACAGTAAGGGGTTTTGTTGTGACATGAAGAGATATTCTGCTGTTGGGGAGGGAAGTTTTGGAAGCCAAGCTTATGTCTGATGATCCTTTTCCATTGTGACATCATTACTTTTTCCTTTTGAACAATAACTACTAAAACAACTGCTCTTTATGCTCATGTTCTTTTCCATTACTGTCCAGGTGCTTGTACATGGACATTGTTTCCTTATCTGACTTAAATATATACTTTCTAATTATACTTTTGTTTCATAAGGAAAGTATTGTTCCATATGGATTTGGATTTTTAAAAATAATTAGCATTGAAATTGTTAGTGCAACTTCTGGAACTGATTTGTAGGGTCAAAAACAAAGTCCTTAGAAACCCAGAGAAAGTTAGGGACAGGGAGAAAGAATCCTGTGATAAACACACCAGGAGACACCTTCAAAAAACAGGAGGAGAACAGAGAGTAGAAGATTTATGGAGTTCAGGATAGAACATGAGAGGAACATGATAAACTGTTTTTAAACTAACTGAAATCATGAAGGATGAGAACAGAATACTGGCTTTGAATTTTGGCTAGACATGAGTCATTGAAGCCCATAAAGGGCAGCTCCAATGGAGTAAACCAGAGGAAGATAGATGGAAGAAGTAAAAAAGGGAGGAATAATCAAACTGACTGCAGTCAACATTGAATGGGCCTTGGACAAGAAGGAATTGCAAGGGAGAATGAAGAGTGGGGTTTTGGTGAGAGGGACTAAAGGTTTTCATGTTTCAAAGGGGAATGGAGACGAAGAAAAGTGGGAGAGTTGTTTAGCAATTGAAATTGGGGTAAGGGAGATCAGATCATGGGATCAATAGAGGAATTCAAGGAAGAGATCAGAAAAGATGCATCTATGTCTGGAAAGGAAGAAGTGTAGAGTCAGATGGGAAAGTCAGGAAAGGGAAGCAATTGTGGAAAGGAAGACAATTGTGCTGGGAGTAGTCATTTGCATAGGAAACAAACCTGCGAGATCTTACTTGGAAGGTGATCTAGAAACAAAACAATTTAAACATTTCATTTAAAATGGACTCTCTTGCATTATGTAGTGCATATGAAACCTTTGAAAAGCAAAATCTAGAGAAGTCCCCAGCTGCTGGATACATTGGAAGACTTCAAACTAACATAAATATGAGAGCAGTCTGCAGAAGCTTTGTTTTTAAATTAGAGATGTAAGAAACCTATTAGGTTGGTCAGTGTATTTCCTTGCTGACATTTTTCCCCCTAACAAAGTTCTCCTGTGCTGCTCTCTGCTGCCACAGATCTCCAGGGGAAAGACTGTTTTCTTAAATATTTTCGCTCATGACAACTGACTGATGCATTTGTTTTTCAGCATTAAAACTGAACAGTGCGTAAATGTTTTTATTGGCATAACTCTCTTCTTTCTGGTTAGCAATCACAGAAAGAGGATGCTGGATCAGACTCTGTAATAGAACATAATTTATTTAAAAGTATGTTGGATCAGAGAAAGTGAATGGAAGAAGGTTTCCTACTGACTTTCCCATCTTCTGATTACCAGTATTTTTTCATTATTATTACCAAGCACATTATAAATGGAAAATGAAAGCTCCATATAAATAGTTTATAAACACATCTGCAGGTTAACAATACACATTGTGCAGTTATTTCCTGTGTTTTTCCCAATTTGTGTAGCATAGGAGGGATGTGTCAAAGGCAGGTCAATTTCTGTCATTTTTTCCTTCTACAAACATTGACTGCTATGCAAGTAATTATTTAATTCATTAGCAAAGTGAACTGTTTCCTGGCAAAAAAAATAACAAAATTTAAAAATATTCAGCTTGACTGAATTCCTCCCTGATAAGTTCACTGGATCTAACAAGGTCAAAGCAAAATTAACTTTGTTCCTTTGTTGATGACTGTTTTGACAAGGCTGTCCTGATCATTTTTGTTTAAACTGAAAAATGGAAAATGAAAGCTCCATATAAATAGTTTATAAACACATCTGCAGGTTAACAATACACATTGTGCAGTTATTTCCTGTGTTTTTCCCAATTTGTGTAGCATAGGAGGGATGTGTCAAAGGCAGGTCAATTTCTGTCATTTTTTCCTTCTACAAACATTGACTGCTATGCAAGTAATTATTTAATTCATTAGCAAAGTGAACTGTTTCCTGGCAAAAAAAATAACAAAATTTAAAAATATTCAGCTTGACTGAATTCCTCCCTGATAAGTTCACTGGATCTAACAAGGTCAAAGCAAAATTAACTTTGTTCCTTTGTTGATGACTGTTTTGACAAGGCTGTCCTGATCATTTTTGTGCTGTTGCAAAGGAACAGCAATATACTTAAAACAGATTAAATTACAACTGCTAGATTAAATTGGATTTTGTTGTCAAAGTATAGATTTTATTAACTGAAGCAATTCACTAAGTAATGGGACCCAGTTTCGTGTAGTGATTGAGAATAGCTGTACAGTTTGACTTAGCTATTTGTTTTCAGATTCTGTTGTCAAAAGTCAAAATTTGTCCGTTTAACATTTCAAATGACCTGTAGACAGCTCTAACATGAAGCTGTTGGTCTCTTAAAGCTTAGGTGTTTGGCTTCTAGGGACAGTATCTGGTAGTAGCATAACAAGTGTGAAAATTCCTTAAGGAATCACAGAATCACAGCCAAGCATTCTAACAGAGCACTACATGAACCCCAGAGATTTTGTTGTCATGAAACAGATCAGAAAGGCAGATGAGGTTCAGGACTGATAATTGTTTGGCAATGTTCTTTTTTTTTTGTCTGCATTTGTTTGTTTGTTTTAAATAAGTTATTTTTTGTTGTTGTGGGATTCAGACTGTACGCCTGCCAAGGATAAGATTCACTTAGAAAAGTACATGCTTCCTGGGTATCATTTAGGAATGCCATGCAGTCTAGCTCTAAACTTCCTATTTGTCATGCCCTAGCTGTCATCCCCTGTGTTCTTCCCTGTGCAGTCAGTGCCCCACATCACCTTCCTCTTCCATTTCACCTGGGGCTGAAGGAATGCACTGACCCCCAAGTAATGCCATGTGCTAATATCCCAAACTGAAAGGATTATGCTGCGCAGAGCACTTTTTTTTGTTCACATCATGTTCTTGTAGCACAGGGAGAAACACAAATGGTGAGGATAATGCAGAGAAAAAAGTAATTTGTCATGCATTTAATTTCCAATTACGTATTTATTGTATTTTCCTTAGCATGTGGTAGTAGTACCTGCATATCTTACATTTTAATCAAGACTCCAGCCGCTTTCATGACATTTAGCAGTTTCACAAATGTGTTTGACCAGTGTGAATTGCTTTCCTAAAAAGCAATCATTGCAGTTGAATCCCCCATTTGACAGGCTAAGTATAGCCCTCTGGATGGGAGCTGGGCTTTCTCTTAGCTAAATGGCTGCTGTTTTGATAAACCACTCAGTGTCACTGTTCTGTGGGGGCTTCATGTCTTTGAGTGTTCACTCTCTGGCTGTGTACATCCATAACACATCTCATCCAAGAGAGGTTCAGAAGATACTAGTCAAGCTCTTCTGTTACTCTAACCAGAAGTCTGTTATTATATTCTCCACATCATGGTTACTCTGGTTTGTGACAAGTAGAATAAGCACCTCTACTTATTTACACATTCAGTTTGTAAAGAATGAATGTGGAGAGGAAACCTCTAAGAAAAGGAAGGCCCTAATAAATTATTTATTGATCAAAATCCATGCTTTGAATTTTGCACTCAGAATGGATTTTGCACTATTTTACCATGCTGTCCAGCTACACAGGTCCTGGCTGCATGAGTCACTAAGGGTAGCCCCCTGCGAAGCATTTTGCAAAATTTTCTTTGGTGGTGAGGAAGTCTGTGAACTGGGAGCAAAGGGAAAAAATATTTTGCTCTGAAGCTGTAGGTTTTGAACGTTTTACTTGCTTCTCTGTAATGACCATGGTATTTCTGGTTGTGGATTTACATCTGCTTTATTTCTGCCTTCCTCTCTGCGCTACCCAACAGTTTTGTCTGAGCAGCCATGCAGTACTCTGCTGCGTGTCTTCAGTATTGACACGTGCCTTCAAGCTGGTTCCATGCAAGGAGGACACAATATTCCATCAATGTTCCTTCTATGTCTTGGAAGCAATGAAGTATTCTAAGTATAATAGAACTTTGAACAAAATGGCGAGTAATTTACAACATCCTTTCATACATGAGTTCTGTTAATTTCTTTGCAATGGGATTGCCACTAGAAAGAACACCATTCAGAGATATTTGTTGTAGCTGTACTGCAGCAAATATCAAGGTAGTGTATGTAGAATTTTCTTACTGTTTTTTTATTTGTCTTGAAATCATTCCACAAAAAATATTAGGCTGAGCCACCGACTGTAGTAGCAATATTGAAGTAGACAGAATAATATACTGTATATTTTATTTAATAAAATCAGTCAATTTAGCTTCTGTTTCTCTCGAGTAGTAAAAACATGTGACCAATCCAAAGACAATAAATAACTTGAAATTATCTTTATCTTTAGAGAAGAAGGACCACGTTTATTGCCTGTGATTTCCTAACTGAGTGGTTATACAAGTAAGTTAATAATGGCTTTTACTAATAATTATGCTCAATGATTCAAAGGCATTAATTTCCAAATAGAATAGCTGAAATTTAAATTACTTAGTTGTTTTATTTTTTTTTCTTATCAGCAAGAACCCAAAGAGGAAGGATGAGTCATTCACAGAGTTCTTTTCCATTCCTTTTGTTACCGAATGGCTTAACGACCAGTAAGTTATTTCAGTACTCAGAGTAACCTTTTCTCCTTTTATTCTTTTTCCCAGGCTATTTAAAAAAAGCAATAGAGCTTCCACATATTACAGTTGTGCCCTCTAAATGCCCATTACTGCGTGCAACAAAAAACTATGGGATGCTTTGTAACTCTCTAGTGTATTAGTTGCAATGTATTTTGTACCAGAATTATTCCCAGAGAAATTAGTTTAGAATTCCTAAACCTTTTAATTGTAGAGTGCAGGGTATCAATAGTCTGGTAGTATTATTAATATCTTTGTACTAAGGAGCAAAGCGGTGTTTTCAATGCTGCTTCCTACCATGGAAATCTCTAAGTATACAGTCTAGAAATCCTTCCTCTAACTGTAAGCAGCTGTTTTAAAAATACATGCAATAACCTTGGTGTCAGGATGCATTTCTGCAGACATTTATGACTTTGCATCTGAGAAATGAGCACTTGTTTTGGCAGCCTCAATCCTATATTCTTCATTATCCCTGCAGAACCCAGGTACACAGTAGTTCTGAAAGAAATGTTGCTGTCTTTCAGACTGCGTTTTGATTTACAATGTAGTTGTTGCATGAGAGAAGAAAAATGAGGTCCACAGTGTGAAAATCAGAAAATTACAGAGGTCTTAGGTAGTCATGTTGTGGTCAAGGTTGCATAAGAAGTTTCTGCAGTCAGAGATGGACATATTTGGAGAGTGACCCATTTCATCTCAGCTCCGGTACCTTGAGGTACCTGCTACTGCATCGTGCTGTCCAGCCACTGCTGTACAGACCTTCCACTGGTGGGACACTTGGAACAGTTTCCTCCTGTAGATCATCAGGTCTTGCCAACAAGTTTCCCATTTAAGGCACAGAATTTTGTAGTTTGGAAACTGGTGATAAAATGCAGTGAGGTTGTCACACTCATTCTTAATCATACTGAAGAGCCACTGGTTAGTGAGGCAGTTTTGGTACCACTGAGTTGTGAGGATGGATATTTGTACCTCAGAGGAATGTTTCACATCACAGTTTTACAAACATTTCTCTTGGAAGTAAAGTTGACCTAAATGGCTCCTTGCTTTCTCCTGTGTTTCACCCCAAGATGGTTGTAGGCAACCTAATATCTTAATAATAAACTAATAATAACCTGAATAACCTAAGGCTTGGTTATTCTGATCAGGGACATATTCTGAGTTAGAAATCTTTCTGCCATAATGTGTGAGGCTTTGTGTAGCCATTTACAATAGAGGGAATTTCTCCAGTCTGGTTCAGCCTGGCAAACCTCTGTATTGGCACAAGTGAAGGATGAAAATTAAGGGCTCAAGGCAAGGTGAAGAGAACAAATGAGCTGCTAAGGTACTGAGGTGGTGGCAGGAACTGCTTAAGTCAGCTTTGCCAACGAGAGAAATACTCTGTGGAATCACAGCCCAAATGACTCACAGCTTCTGTTAGTTCTTGTGCTCCTAAATAATGGAGTGACAGCTCCACAAGGACACTGGAGTGTCAAAGTCCTGCTTACATTGATACACATCTTAAATCCTCTAAACAAGTAGGCCTTTAAAATTAATAATTATTAAAAATATTATTAAAAACCATCTTTTTGTGAACTTACCTTAAAATGATAGATTTCTTAACAAATATTGCTATGAAGTAAGCATTATTAGAGCAAAGTGAAAGACTGCAACACTAAATAAGAATAAAAATGAGACTATTTATTATTATGTCCTTCTGGATATATCATAAATCGTTTATTATTCTGTGCTTCCAGGTATCACATTTTAAAAGTAATTGCTTTTCATTGTAATTTCAATTTTTATTTTTAAAGGCGTTTTCATTTTTTAACAGAATTTATGAATATGTAAGAGACAATATGCTAAAAAGTGCTAGTCAAATTTTGATGGGAAACATCCTTTTCCCAGTTGTTTCAATGGTATAGTAAAGAAAAAGAAGTAAAAAGTATTGCTGCAATTTTAAGGGACAAACTCTTGTGTTGCTTTTTCAGTTACTTCTCTAAATTTGGAAAGGATTCTGCAAAGTCTGTTCAATAGCAGTGCATTTCTGTACGGTGTTAAAATAGTCTGTGCAAGGCTGTCTTCATGCTTAAAAAGAAAATCAGCACAAAACCCCAAGAGAGATACATTTTTGTTCTATCAGAGATCCAGCTTTTTGTAATATAATCCATGCTTGAGTATGACTTTTTTGGCTCTGCTCCAGCACCTCCAGTTTTTCCTTTGAAGCTTGATTTTTCTTAAGACCAGTCAAGGCAACAGTCCTGTGAGCCTCACTCTGGATGGTGTGTTTCCAAATGAGATCCTGCAGTTTACTTTCCCTTTGTAAGGAGATTCTCTCACTGCATCCCTTTCCAGAATTTTAAAAGCAAACAGTGCACCTCCAAAGGCTGGTTACTCTCAGTGAAGGAGCTTGTAGAATCTGAATTTGTTCCCAGTGTTAGTATTTATAGTAATTGCTACATCAGTAAATAAAAGCCTCAGTGTATTTACCTTGTCTTCCACTGGCTTCTGAACATTACCAGTAGCACTGACAAAATGTTATATGCCTTGGGGATCCTTGATTCCCAAAGCAGATTTCAAAAGCAATAGAAGGAGCAGCCTCAACACTGACTGGTAACATCCAGAAGAACACACATTTCTGTGGAGAGCATCTGTACCTTTCAGAGGGTGGAAAATGGAGATTAACCAGCAACTAACAAAAGATTTTTGGAAACTTGCTGAGATACATCCTGATATCTGTATTCCTACATTCAAGGCTGCTGATAGAGCCAAGTAAATAGAATTACAGCCTGGGATGTTTTGTACTCCTATAAATATGCTAATGAGCAACACACTTGCCTTTTGTCAGCAATTTCCAGTGGTGTTTCTGGTTGAACAGCAGCAGTGCAGCTCAATCCCAAGTAACAACACTGTAGGTACTAAATCAGGGGCAGGGAAAAAGTGATCTGTGTTTATGCCCTGATCCCCCTTAAATGTGACTTTTCTGGCATAGATAGGCTGAGTCTTCATACTGACTATCAGGGGAGTTTTATTACTCAATCTTATTTAGCATATTAATGAAAGAAATATGCAGAAAATATGGAAAAAATAGTTCCACTGCTCTGAAAAATACTGATATCATAGAAGTCTACTGTCACTTGAATTTAATAAAATGACAGTAAGCATAAGTATTTGCCTGGTTGTTGAAGATGGTTTTTTTAACAGGGGTTACAAGAACTGAAGGTGTATTTTATAAATAAGCATTAATTCACAAGACTTTATTTATCTGTATTTTCTCCTTTTCTGTATAGAGGTATTTATTTGATACTGGTTTTGCTGGTTTAATGTATCTGTGTGTACCAAAACAAATGTGCAGATACAGAGAAAATAAATTTATCATGGCTTTAATGAAGGGGACAGTTAAGATAAATACCTATGTGTGTCTATAAATGACTACTAAATCTGAAATAATGTCTTCTGCTAAATATCAGTATATGCACATATATATACATTTTTTTGCCCTCCCCCACAGTATTTTAATTATGTGAAGTCTGCTGCTCTCAGCTGCCTTTACAGTTGGCTTCATTGTCAGTTCTCAGATGGCCAACGGGTAATTCTACATGGGTGACTGATTTCTTTCTTTCCATCATATGCCCAGTTTGTACAGGCTTTGCTTTCTGCACACTGCTATATTTCACTGGTTTGTCTCCAAACCAGACATGTTTTGTGTGTATTTTATTTGCATTATGGTTTTTATTTCATTTTCTTTAGTAATTTGAGGTTGAATTTACTTCTTTGAGAGGAGGGAAGGTGCTGTATGATAAGCAGCACATTTACTTGTGATAACAGAAAAGTCCAACAATTATGTCTGTGGATGTTACTCTATGTGGATCCAAGCAGAGAATTGACATTCCAGTAAGGTGGAAGAATTCAAGTTAATAAAGGAGAAATATTTGGCTTAAAAACAACTGTGTTGGAAAATTACACAAAATTTCTGTATAAAGTACTTATATTGTGTCATGGTGTTTTATGAAGCTGAGGCTTTATGGCTACAATTACTGCTGCAGTGATGAAGCTTCCCTTCATTTATGTGAAGGTTGTCAAAATAGCAATGAGAAAACAAAAAATGTATTAGTGGTTTGTGACATCTTCCTGATGTTGCTGTTAGAGCACTAAGAAGGGATTATTTTTGCTGCTGTTAGTTTGTCATGTTTACAGGATACCAGGTCTGACCCAAAGTATGCAAACACTGATGGAAATTTCTCCACTGACATGAGTGACCTTTGGAATAGGTCCATATTTGGTTTCCTTCAGTCCAAGACCACAAACACTCTTACAGAATACCTAAATATTGGTCCCACAAAAGAGAAAACTGATGCAACACATCTTAGAACACATAGCAAGCAGGCCCAGGAAGACATAGTTTTAGCATTCAAAGGGCTAAGTGCTCCCCAAGTGGAGAGCATATTAGGAGGCAAGAAAACAACTAATTTTCAGACATAGTTTAAGAGAAAAGATTCTTACTCTGCTGTTGTTTTGGCATGTTCTTGCTACTAAGACTTCTTGCTGCGCTTCCTCTAATTCCTCTCACATTCTTGTTACCATTCACCTGTTCTCCTGCATTCCCCTCTCCATTTTATGACTGTGCTCACCACTTACCAAATTTCTCATGTTACTTCCACACTCTTTTCTTTTTACCATGTCGTTTCTTCATGCCAAATAGCTAAATAAGTATTTAAATAGTATGTATGTGTTAATAGTTGTATGTGTATTATCACTATGGCCACTTAGAGTGTATTTTTACAGTTGTATTAGACTGCATAATATAATACAATTAGTAACTATCTCACATAATCAGGATCTGTACAAGTTTGCTCAGAAAGCAAAAAACTTCCCTCTGATCAGTGTCTGCTTTATTCAGATTTGGTAAAATACAATACTTGAGAAAAATAATTTTACTGATGCTCTTTTACAGGTGCAATTTACATTAAACAATATATTATATGTGTATGTATATAAAATAGATAGTAAGAGGTTTAATGTGTGGGCTTTTAAAATTGTGCATAATCAAAGATAAATAAGCAGAATATAATTAGTGTATGTTTTACTGTAAATTTTAATATTCTCAGAGGCATACAGCTGTCTTCTGCCGTGAATGACATATTCCCTCTTTTCCAAGCTCACTGCTGAGGGGTGATTGTCTCTGCTCAGATTCTATTTTTCTCTCACCTGAAGCCACTTGCTTATATTCTTTCAGTCAAAACTTGACTTGGCATGAGGCTTCTGTTCTTTAAAGCTGCCATGTTGAAGTGATCCAGTGAAGTGAGCCAGCAACTGTCATACTGAAAATTATGTCCTGTTTTTGTTAGTGGTTCCTGAAATTTAATGTTGGGTTATAAAATAGACATTTTTATAATTTGGAAATGAAATTAAATGTGTGCTAGAGCCAGCCTTGCAGGCTGGCAGAAATCTCAGTTGGTTCTTCAGAGATGTACTCCTCCTTAGAGAAAGTTCAGTGTCTTTGATATAACTGCTGTAAAATATGTAGGTCTCCCTGTGATTTCCCCACTCTAATTTTGGTTTTCAAAAAGATCAAAAATAGAACAGAGGATGAAAACCCATCAGCCAAACCAGTACAGTCCACCTTCATATTTTAAAGGCTGATGATACAAAGCAGTGAGCTCTGGGAGCCTAGCTTATCCAGGACTTACCATTTCCTTTGAGCAGCAGAAATGCTAATTAATGTTCACAGAGCTAAAACTGTTTACTTAATGGAGGCATTGCTTTTCATTTTTGTCTTATTTCTACTCTTCCAAACAGAGAGTGGTTTACTAATAACTAAATGTAGGCCAAAACCAGCTGACATGGTGGCGAGACCAGTTTAGCTGAGTGCGCAGACTCAGCTGGTGCAGTCAGGACAGCATTAGATAATAGTTAAGATTGTGCTCCAAGTGGAAATGCTCCTTCAGTGAAGACAAGCCCTAAGAGAAAGATGTCAGAGAGCATTGGAAGCTTACTAGGGCAGAGATTAATATGAATGAAATAAAGTGAAATGAAAATGTAAGCTGTCAAGTCTCCTAGCTTGAGCTGTAATACACTGTAAAATACATTTCAGAATGTAGAAATGGCTGAAGTAATGTTTTAACGAAAAAAAAAAAAGTAAGACTGCATAAGTAGCTGTTAATGGGTGGGTTTGCAGTATAAGTGTCTTTATAGTATAAATACTGTAAATAATGTTCCTGCGTTGCTTGCATGTGTCTGTAGATGATTTGCTGCATCCAAATTCCTAACGTTGTGGTCTTCCAAGTCAAAGCTGTGTTCAATCTGTGTCCCATGCAGGGAGGGTGGCTCTTAGCAGCCATTCTAACACTGTGCCAAGTCTCCTGTTTATAGCTGCTATTTTCATGAGTTACAACATTATTGCCCTGTAGTTCCTTAGGTTTAAATCACATCTGTTATAAAAGAAACTATATAAATGGTTTTTGCCTTATCCTTTCCAATGGTTGGTTTCTGATCACTGTGTGTGAGAAATAAATCAACATTCATAGAAAAAGGCTTTGGGGAAGCAAGATTTGATGTAGTGATTTGATTTGTTAGTGATGGCTGAATTATAGTTATAGTTTAGATTGTTTCCCATTAAAATGGGTAGCAACAGAATCACCAAACATGCTTTCAAATTACTGTATGTTTTGACTGAAAATTGTTGACTTCACATATGCACTGCTTTCTTTTATCACCAAACAATGTGTATATGCTGTCAAAAGTAACGTTTTAGCATTTTAAGAGCTTGTTTAGACATTTCCAAAGATGGATCCATGCTTATGCAGATATAATATTTACTTTTTTCAGTACATCTTAAGTGAAATCACAATGTAAATTAATATACTAAAATATATTTATGTTCTGTGTATTTAATAATTGCTATAAACATGTCATAAGTCTGTTCACTGTTGCTTGCACACTAAAATCTCCCTGCTTTACAAATGGCAAGCCTCTTTATTTTGTCGCTCTCCCACTGCTACCTCAAACCTTACCATTATAGTAGGACTGTTAAATCCCCATAGAAGAATAAGAGATTACTGCCATTTCTGTATTATTGTTTTAAAGAATAAATTATTGTAGTGTACATAACAGAATATATTTCTAAAGGAAATAATGTTTTATTTTTGAGCAATAAGAAATTGTATCTTTCAAGCTCCTGAACAACCTTTCTCTTTTTTATAAAATATGCTGTTAGGGAATAGAGCATTTTACATTTCTAGGCTGGCTGTTCATAAAACATTATTTTATTCTTTTTAAGTCCTAGGCCACCAACTCCTCTATCAGAAGAAGAAGCAAGTGTAGTAATTCAGTCCTTCTGGAGAGGTTATCGAGTAAGAGTAATCTATAATTATTTTGCTTGATGTTGAAAACCATAGGACTGTGAAGGCCCCAGGGAAAATCCTTACATAAATTTTAAGTAGGGGATACTATAAATAGCTACTGAGACCCCCATGGTTCATTGGCTTTGGATGTTGCTCTGCCTTATGCCTAGTGACTACAATTTTTGCACAGGCATTTGCGCTGGTGTAATCTCGCTGTTTTCATCAGCAACAGAAAATCCAAAGAAATGCAATTTTCAGAAGTACAATTAACACTGAACAATTTATTGGGTTTTTTTTTAAGTTGATCTTCAACTAGTTGCTACAGGATAAAGTGTTATTTTTCTTCAGGCAGGGATATATAAGTGAGTGTGGAGATGCACAGGGAGGGTTGGAAAGGTCTGTTAAAAAATAAAAGCATACAGAAACATGGGAATGAAAATTGACACCAAGAACAAGGCAAGATGTAGAAGAGGCATAAAGGCTGTTACCAAAGGAAGGGGAAAACAAAATGGCAAGCAGATTTTGCAGGCCACTCTGGTCATACAACACTAACACAATCCCAAATTTAATGGGGAAAAGCAAAGCTCATCAAATACAAAAAAAAATGGCTAATACTATTATTTTGGAGGGTGACAGCCATGCTAAGCCTAGGGTATGAAATAAATTATTTTTAAAATACTGGGCAGATTCTGTTAAATATTTCTTTCAAAGGCTCTAGCACCTTCTTGCCATGGAAAGAAATGGGCTTTTGAAGTTCAGGTGATTTTGGTGACATGTCTTTGCCTTTTTCAATATCTTGTAAATAGCCTTCAGATACAGCAGTAATTTTGTTGTGGTGGACAGCAAGATACCTCTGTCTGTACATCAGGTGTTCAGTATAAAAATACTGTTCTTCTTTACTACTTTTATAACAAGCATGTCTATGTAAGTGGCTACAAAAATGTGCCACGCAGCCAAAGATTATGGGATACCTTGAAATGATGATCTTTTTGTGACACTTTCTGCTTGTTTGCTTTCCTTTATTTTTCTTTCTCCAAGGAGAGATAGCACTGACACTACCAGTACTTAGCACTGACAGTATCACTGCAGGCATCCCAGCAGTTGCAAAGGCAACTGTTACCCAGTAGCAGTTGGGACCAGCAAAGGCCCAAACCCAGGAGGTCACACATACAGTCCCTGTTTTTACAGCAAATGTAGACTCAACCGAGGTGACTTGGGTAAGAGTGAACACCCACTTTAAAATCAAGACTCCTCCAGTGCTTCATGCACTGCTGGTCTGCAGGAGATCCACGTCAGTTTTTTCGACAAGACTGTTGACCCTTTAATTATTTGCCTGGGGATTTTGTTGCTGAGTCATGGCTTTTTAATCCTGATAGAACTGCATTCTGATTACAAAATAGAGACTACTTTCTGAGAAATTATCACAGCTATGCTAAAATACAATCTATTAAGCATATTTGGAACATGTTGACATTATTTTGTTAAGTTCCTCTCACCTGTTTTACCACAGGTGATGTATCTATGTTGCTTTTTCTTTTCTTTCAGTTCTCTAAAAAAACCCACTTGTTCTGGGAGCTCATGTTCACTGTTTGGATTTAATGTTGGACTTTGGAGTATTTGAGTCTGACTATGCCTTTATCTCAGAGCCCCGTATTTTGTTATATATTTCACTAAACTTTCACTATTTTATCTAAGAAGTGTACACAGAATCTGCTTATACTTGCCTTTTATCTTTTTAACTCTTAAGAGTTATTGTCTTCATTTTCAGTATTCAAAGGTAACTGTGGCCATGTCATGGGCTGAAATACAGATCTTACATAGCTGCAGTTGTAAATGGACACTTTATATTTTTAAAAATATGACATTTAGATGTGGAGACATAATTTCTCTATCTTTGTGCCTCTTTTTGTTGCTGTCATTTGTGTGTCCTGTAAGCATTCCCCTAAGCCTTTCCTTTGCAGATAAGCTGGCTCAATGTAATAGGGAATTATGGGTTTTATAAAAGTATACATGAAACTATAAATGTCTCTTGCAACAGAAATAAACTATCCCATGTTTGGGATCATATTTCATTTTTTTAAAAATAGTTGATGGATCTAATAGAAAATAGTTTTGAGGTTTTTGCATGGCTGAAAGGAAGATCACTAGTAACAGTAACTTAAAAAAATTAAATTTCCTATCAACCTTGTAAGAAATTAATATGACTTGTATAGAAGATAATACAGAACTAGATTAGTATAATAGGATATTATTAGAGACATAAGAGATGTCTGATGTTGAGTCACTGAGTAAAATCTTCCCTTTGTTGATCATGGCACCTTGTGTTGCATTTCTGCTCTGCCAATGCACCATCGGAAATAAAGTTGTTGAGTGGATTGAAAAGTGCAGTGGGAATTCAGCTACTGGCCATTGCATTCTTAGCTGCACCACGAAGGAGAAATTCTGGGTGGAAAGAGTAGTTTTGATAAATATTTTTTTTTTCCTTTAAGGTTTGGATGGTTTGTTTTGGGTTTAGCTGGTAGAAAACTATGTCAGTCCTGTCCTCTTGCTCTGTATGTGTCTCAGGAAAGTGGTAGAAAAACAGAGTGTAATTTAGTAAAGTAAGAGTTCAAATTGCAGAGCAAACTTATTACCTTATCATGTAAGAATAAAAGAAATAAGAAATTTTCAAGAAAAAACTATGTAGTCTGCTTCCTGAAAACAGAAGTGTGTCCAGGGGAAACCAAGCTTGTTGCTGCTTGTTTCTACCATGTTACTCAACTTTAGCCTGAATTACTAGGACATTGAGTCTTAAAACATCATGACATTTTATATGTGTAACATTTAGAAAAAACAACCTGCATTTCTAACATGTTTATTCTAATTGTAATATGACTCTAAGAGAATAACAACTTTCCAATATCTAAGCTAATACTAGCATGTCCCCTTCCCACTATTGTCAGAGGGATGGTGCCTATTCTGCATTTTTGGTCTAGAACTGGAGGTAGTTTTGTGTGAATGCTGGGGTAGGCAACTGGCAACACACTGCTAATTTATCACATCCTGCTTAGAACAAATTTAAGTAGCAGAGTGGTAGAAGCTGTTGGTGCAAAGCTAGCTCTTTCTTATATTAGTAGGATCTACACAAGTACAAAACCAGTAATGAAAGAATTCAACTTAAGTCTTAAATAGAGTCAAGGCCTGTGGCTACTGTCATTTCGTATGGAAGCAGAATTACGCCCTTCATAGGGGTGATTGACTGACAACGAGTGAATATAATGCAATGCATTCCAATTACTTTCAATAACAGATTAATGGCTCTCCTTTTTTTTGTGAAAATTGTATGGCTGGGATTGTCAGTCAGTCTATTTGCAGCTGGTAGCAGGTGTGAATTGGTTTGCTGGAATAAATTTCCTGCTGTATGACCCTTCATGCTCCTCTTCTGCTCTATTATGTTGATCAGTGGGTTGTTTTTATAGTGTTGTGGTTTTCTAAAGGCACTAATACCCTTCAGCATAATGCTTTAAATTTTAGTTAACTCAAAGAATAAGCATCTCACTGCAATCACATTCTCAGGAGTCCTTGCTAATCAAAATGATCCCCTAATTGGCATATTTATGTTTTCAATAGGATTTGACAATTATGTGGGTTTTATTTCTGTGTAAGTTGAAAACTGTAAACCTCTGGGGTTGTGCTCTTATATCAGGCCCTGAAAAAAGTCATGTATTTGCCCAGACACAGCCCCACGAAAAAAAATGGTTCCAGTGTCTTGGATAACATGGATCTATACAATTTTATTAGCATTTTCTTTTTTCCATTTACCAGGTCCGCTGCAATAGTGAAATACAAGAGTTACGTCAGTGGCAAAAGCAGTTGAGGGAGAAGAACAACATTATTAAAAGAGTGAAAGAATTCTGGACTAAGCAGGAAATCAAAGGTAGGTGATTTGAATATTTTAATTATTTTTCTTTTTACATTAAGGTGCTTAATTTTTATACTATGAGTTCTATTAAGTAATAGGAGACACAGAAAGACACAAATCACAAGAGAGAAGAGAAGGCAACATCAGTTGGAAATGCTGACTGTTTCTTTGCAGTCAGTGCTTTTAGTTAGTTGCTTAGTGGCAAATGAAAATTGTACAGGGCCAAAGCTCAGTAATTTCAGGTGACTATGACTATGTGCTGGCACAGTAAGTCTTAGGGCAGGATCAGACCTCTGTTTGCTCTACATCTAAATACTGATTTTTACCAGGAAAGTTGTTGTACAGTTTTTCTGAACTGTGGGATTTCTATCTGGTAAATGTTCTACTGGCATTTTCCTGCAGTTACTTACAGCAGAAGTTGGCTTGTACAGTTCTAAGAAAAAGAAAACAAGCCCAAACAGCCCAATATAATTTCCAGGGGCAATAAGGCCAGATTGTTTTAAGAACTGACCCTGTAATATGTTTCCTTTTTGTCCTGACTGTGGATAAGGCTTTGCTGACAGGGCTGAATTCTCATTCACTTCCCCAGGCACAGAGGTGTAATCATGATTATTTGCTCAGCCTCTTTGTCTGCTAATGCAGGAGGGTTCACTAGCTCCTCAACCAGGCTACATTTTGTCTGTCTCTGTGGGCCAGACTTAAATGTGATACATGTAGGGATGTGAACTAGCATCCAATAGGTGAAGATGAGAAGAGGTTGTTCAGCTATATTGTTCAGGTCTTGACCAGAGGGAGAATTCTGTTGTACCAGTGACCAATGCATGGTCCTTCAGGCTGATGACACCCTCCCACATGTGTTCTCAGGTGGATGATCTTTGCCTTGAACCCCATTCAGGGTGCAGTTTCACACAGGCAATTGCATCAAACTGGGAGCTGCCAAAAGGGTTGGTCCCACTCTGTAACTCTTGTGTCCGATGTAGTGATTGTGTAACTGCGCCATGGTTTGGGTCACTGAGGGGCTGTAGTATGGGACTCGTTATTTTTCCACAATGCTGTTACCACATGATTCCTGTGTATAATACAAGGAGAAAGGGAGCTGGGGACAGACTGGGGAGAGACATAAATAGGGATAATGACTTTCAGCAGCCCACGGCTTGGTTAAATTGAGCAGAATATGAGATGGTATTCTCACACCTGGTTACTGGTCATGGCTGAGGAAGTGCCAATCTCTATGTGATTGGGAGGAGGTAAAAGCCAGGGCCAAGTCATGGCTTAGATCTCTTCATCTCAGTGCACAAACACACATCTGTCAACGCTCTCTTTCAAAGCCTTGTTTTTATGGGAATTCACTGGGAAAGACTTAGGTTTGAATCCCTGCATGGTGAGGGAGTGTGGAATCAGGTTTCTGTGAAAGGTTTTAAAATGCTGAGTCCTGGTCAGTTAGACACCTACTATCCAGAAAAGTCTACAACTCTGGGTTTCAAGTGACAGAAAACTGCTGATGTGCAATCTGTAATTAGGCAGCTTCATTTTAATGGGAGGCCTCTCTCCTCTTTGTTGCTTAATGACCTAGGCAGCTTTTCACTCAGCATTGAATATATGTGGGTCACCGTTTGGAGCTCTTTCACTTTGCTGCCTCTATAGACCATGCCATTGTTTTGTTGGCTCACCTTCAGGTGCCAAATTTCTACACGTTTAAAGTCTAAGCTGAGACACAGAGTTATGTCCTGCTGGGTCTTCACTCAAATGTTTTTTTCTTTCCTTATTCTCTATGCAATCTAACTGTTCTTTTATTTAAATGGAGTTACTGTACTTGTGCACAGATATGAAATAGGATATTCTGGAACTGTTTGTTGACATCCTCACAGTATGCTTTATTTTAAAAACTTCAGTAAGAATGTCAGTACCTAAATAGTACTTATTAACACCACTGCTATATAGCAATCAGAGCTTGCAAGTGACCAGAGCCTTGCAATTCTTTGGTAACTCCTGTTGACAAATCTTTTGTGGCTATTGGTAATTCCAAAACTGTCCTGCTTTTTAATGGATGAAACAACTAAAACTTCCCTATGAAGCATTTTCATTGTAAAAAAGGTGTCTGCTTTTTTTTCAAAGCGCTTTCCTGCTGTTTGGGCAGGAAAAGCACCAACAACAGGAAAGTGCTTTTCCTTCTGTTTGCAAACATTCAAACCACAGAATTATCCACTAGCTACTATTGCAGTCACCACCTCTCAGCAAAGGGAAAGCAGCAAAACTAGACAGTGGCCCTTCTCTGTCTGAGAGCTTTGTGAGTGTGGGTAAGCCAGGAGGAGCTGCTGAGGTTGTCCAGGCCCTGGGAAACATGATGGGTGCAGTAATTGAACATGATTCTGTTGATTGCAAACTTAGAGCTAGAAGATGAAACAAAATAGTAACTCTAAGCAATGTACAAAAATGATGAAAAGTAAAACCCAAGAGAATGAAGTTGTCTTCTAGTGTATCTAACTGATATATAAAGAAAACTTTGGCAGAGAAGCCAAGGTTTTCTTCAAGCCTGTGTGGAATTTCATAGTCTATTTACTATAAGACTTTACTTTGAAAAATAAAAAGTAAGCATTTTTATTTCTAAGAAGACGTAAATAGATCTGGTTTTGAAGATCTGAAAACATTTTATTCAAATTTACTGTGATAAAATTAATCTCATTATAAATTTAAAAAATAAAAGCCAAATTATTCTCTTTGTAATACATATATAATTCTGTCAGAGTTAATTGTTGAAAAATTTCATTCCTGAAAGTGCTAACAGAAATTGACCTGCAGGCTTGCTAATTCGTTTTAAATAATTGCAGTGTAATCTTGGTGGGTTTGGTTCTGTTTTTAATCTGCTAGCATTTACATCATTTAATCAAGGCATGTTTTTGCACATGTTCCATTGTCCATAAAACCACAATTGCATACATTTCTCATTTATTTGTAAGGAATAAACCTTTAAAAGCCCTTTCCACTATGTATTTGCTACATATCACTGTGAAGAAATGTATCTATGATCTTAGATCTTTATACACTAAAATTTTAGTCTTCGAGCATGTAAAAACTCAAAGGTGAATATTACAAGTGCATGTCCAGAGGATAAGATTAAACCATTTTCAAAATGTTGCAACTAAGAAAAGTGAGTGCGGGGTTGGGCTTGGACTGTGTAATTTGGCAGTTGAATTGATGAAAAAAACTCCTTTCTCTGAAGAAACTGACCCTTTCCATAAATGATATTTATGTTGATTTGGAAAGCAACATAGTGATAAGATCTCCTTGGATGCTTTTGCCAATTGTTTCAAAAGGAAAAACAAATTTCCTTTTAATCATTCTCATTCCTGCATCAAATAAATTATTTTAGGACTCTAGGACACACAGCTGTTTCACCACTTGAAAAAAAATTGTAAAATTGCCCCTTTTCAATTTCTTTTTTTTCATAAGCCAGTGCAAGTTTGTATTGCCTGGATCACATTAGCTTTCAATATTATCACATTGTTTCTGTAATTCCTTAACTGAGCTCTGCTAAGTTCATTTCAGAGGACCCATACAGAAAACAGCCCTGGGGCCCAGGCAGATGGCTCTTTGGAAACAGCTGTACCAGTTTGAGAAGTTACTGTCCAGGGGTTTTCATTATCAGTCTCAGCTGTGATGCCATAATTAATTTTGTTAATGCTCCAGCTGCTTTTATTTCTGCTATTATTATTCTGCTGTTTATTAATGTCATTAAACCTTATTTCACTGTGAAGTCAGCAACGGTAGTTTAAACCACTTTTACCAGGGATTCAGTCTAACCCAGCTGACTTTTTGGGCTGAAGTGGATTGTAATCACTCGTACAATAATGAATAGCATCATGCAACTACTTCTTAACCTTGCCTTTCTAGGCATGTAGTTTAACTGAATTAATTGATTCAGTTAATTCAATTAATCCCCTTTAATTAAACCACTGAGCTCTTCACATCGAGCAGGACAAAGCATTTATTGTCACTAAAACCTCAGATGTCACGAATAAGGCTTTAAGATTCATGATCAGAAGAAAAATAAGGAAATATTTTTAAATAGATACAGCAGTTTATTACAAAGTTAACTACATTAAGAATGATAATGAAGTATCCCTTAAATTTGTATGTGGCTCTAACCCTGTTTGTTAGATGCTGTAAACAGCGTTGAAACTAACTGTGGGGGATGAATGTTGAGCTGCCAAATAGCTTTTAGAAAACGCTGACTGGAGCAGTAATGCGATTCTATTGACACTACTAGAAAGATCAGCATACCTTCCATGAGAACACCAGCCAAAGACGGGGTTAATGTGAGCTACCAGTCAGGTTCTGCTTTGTTGTGCCTCTCAGCACAGTGCTCTGTAGACCTTATTTCTCCCTATGTTTTCGGCAAAGAAGTAGAATTTTAGGAAAGTATGTTTGTATAATCTCTACCAGTGTGACATTTTAAAAGGATGTTAAAAGGAAGTTACAAGTATAAACTGATTGTAATCCAAAGGCAGGCTTAATTTATTTTCCTGGTTTCAGAAAGTGTGTTAAAACATGCTCATTATTATTGAAACAAATAGCGAAGTTTTAGTTTTCATTAGAACATAACCAGAACAAAACACTTTTGGAGGTTTTTTCAGTAGGGACCAAAAATAGGATTTTTATGGGGCAGCCAAGGTGATCCAACAACTTTCCATTAAAGAGGGAGTCCTGTCCTTCCTCAACTAAGGTTTCTACCATCCTTTCCTTATTTTGGCTGCAGCAATCATGGCTTCAGGGTGGGTTGGTTCAGCTGGCAGACGTGACAAACAACTGCTCCTCAGTTCTGCTCTGCTGCCCCTCGGGTTCCTCCACTCCTGCATCAGCCTGATCAACTGACCCATAGTCACACAACCCTTACATCCAATATAGGGGAAGTGGTGCAGCAGAGGGAAGGAGAACTGCCCATTTGTGATGGCCACTCAGTTTTAGATCGGCTAATCTGTCCTGTGCCTGCTGTGTCATGTGAAGCCATCCCCTGCACATTGTGTCTGCCTGCTTTGGTGGGCCAGGCTAGAATGCAGCTTCATCTAAACTGCTGCTTCTCCCCACACTTCACAGCATGTTTAAAGCACCCTTTTTAAAAAAAAAATAAAATTTATTTATTTATTTATTCTTCTTTCAGTATGTATTTTATACTATTTATTACTAGTTTTGAAAAGTGTTCTGGGTTATCTGTTGATCTCTTTAATTCATATTCCTGCTAGTGCAAAGAAAAAGGTGGTTTTCTTTCAGCCGTCTCCCAGAATCATAAAGCTACAGCATTTTTAGCTGACATTTTGTTTGCTGTACTGCTCCACTGCTGTAACATTGCATTCCCTAAAATGATCTATATTTAGGCCTGATAGTCCTTACTCTTAGCAGTTTCTACTTCCAGCCTGAAAATTTAGAGAGAAGATAAGACTAAGTTTAGTGGCTCTCAGCCTTAGACTTGTAAGGAGAAAGAGAATTCTGTCCAGTGTAGCACAGCTGCTTGGATAAATTTGTTCCAGAATATTAGACAGAATTATATAAAAAAAATTGCCCTCTACAGAAAATATGGCTAATAAAAAAATGAATGTCCAGAGGATGTGAGTGAATAGCAGATGAACACAGGCTTTTTTTTTTTTTTTAAGATGATGTCCTTTCTGATTTTAGTATTCCAATTTGCTGAAATTACTTTAATGCAAATGTATTTAACTAGGTGATTTAATAACCTGCGTGTTATGTGAGATCATGTTTGGCAGGATGTGACACAGTGGTACATACATAGCAAGACCTGCTTTTGCTTTCATGAGGCTGATGATCTACCATGAGATTATCTGTTCAGAACTTCTTTTCTCAGCATGCATTAATCTAG